CATTCCCGCTTCCTATACTTAAATTTGGGAAAGCTAAAAATAGACTTGTAAGAAGTTTGACTCCCGTATAAGAAAAACTGACCAGAATATTTAATTTCAAAATTTTAGTAGTTGATGTCATTTTCAACTAGCCCTCAGAGATCGGTTAACTGAGTAAGAATAAGGAATCGAGGCAATAAGTTTAAATGAAGTTCACAAAAAATGGAATTCTTAATTGATAGAATCCACGAATAGTCGTTAACACATAAAACTTACCTTCTGAAAAAATATACCGCAGTCAAAAATTTCCATTACTGATTTTTTACTCACATTATAATGCCCAGATAACTTTCGCTTAAAAAATTGTGTTTTTACCTCTAAATAATGAGCAAATGACAAACAAATGACTGAAACAGGAATTTAAGATACTTTCTTTTCAGAGTTAGTGCTCTATGTTACATTTCTACTTCTTTTTTGTTAAACCAGGTTTTGGATAAGCTGGATTTTAAATATACTGTAAAATGAAAAAAAAAAATTTAGGTATACAAAACATGATGAAATATGTGGAATGAAGTAAAGTATAGAGACAGTATTTGTTATTTCAGAAAATGAGCTTTGTTCATGAATAAAATTGACTGAAAGAGTAAATCATTAAAAATCTAGGATGTGTAATGTATTCTCTTGTGTTGTGACTTTTCTCACTTGCCTGACAGTGACATCAGAACAATTTTCCATGAATTTGTTCTCTTTGCCATGAATAAGAGAGCAAATTTGTGCCTGTCGTTGGTAAAGCCTTGAGCACTATACAGGGGACAGTAGACTTCGCTCATTTACGCCCCCAGTTTTGAAGGAGAGCATCCCGACGGAGGGATGGGTCCAAGTGTTTTTCACCCCTCTTCCGCTACCATCATTCTCTCGAGAGGACGTTAAATGTGCCGCATATTTAGAGTGCCCCATGCCGCACAGGTACTATACATTTACAAACATCATGACTTCTCCGGGATTCGAACTTCTTCGGGTTCTTCGGTATCGCAGTAGGCTCCCCTAACTACTCACTGGTCATGGGCCCTTTCCTTCATACCTCTGCCGCTTTGGCTTGAGAGAGAATGGTAACTGTGAATGTGGGGAGGAGGGTCATCCAGATCATTTTGTGTTCTCCTGCCCACACACAGCACTTAACAGCCTCAAGCAACCAGGAGCCAGATTCAGGCCAAATTGATTTCAGAAACTACAAAGTATCAGAGTTGCCCATCGGAAACTGAAAACAATAATTGACTACTGTACTAGCAATTACTCTTCTAACACTGGAAGATAGTAGTCATAAAAGTCTATATATGCTAATTCAATATGTCAGCAACAGACTATGTGATATGTATGTTAAATATGTAATTTTGTATTTATACTGTGCCAGGTTCTCATACATAAAGTTCGTACTGTATCTGAATGCTGTAATGTATCTGTACATGTTTATATCTTTTATTTATGGTACCTAATTTATACTAAGGATCACGCGTACCTCAATGGCATGCGTCTTGTAAACTTTAACTATCATGATAACGTATATGTATGGGTGTATATATCAATATGGGTGAGAGTATGTGATACTTTTATTTGTTTCGGAATATTTATGTATGTAAGTGTGTATATATCTGTATATGAGTTTGTATTTATATGTATATACATATATTTTGATTGTACTCTTCTTCAAGTGCCTTGTATGCACATGTATATATTTCTTTGTACATTGTTCTACTCTTCTTCAAGTGCCTTGTATGCATATGTATATCTCTTTTTTGCATTTTATATATGCCGTCTACTCAGCCGGGGCTGCCCAGGGCTGCAGCCTGGTAGCTAGTGGTTGACTCCCACCGAGTTGGTAACCAACTCTGCATGGATATATCTATACCTGGGTCGGAAGCCAACTCAGCGGTTTGCCTCCCCTAACTACTAACAGTCTGGGTGGCATATGTATTCTCTTTCCTAATGTTGGTGATACGCGCCAGTTGCCCTTATACAGTCAAGTATTTTGTACCTTTAAGTCATTATACGTTAGAAGGAAAATCTTAGAAATTTTGGCAACAATTCCGTAAAAGATTGCAGCAGCAGTATCACCTCATGGAATATTAAATAATCTAGTAAACCCGCGTTTTAAAATTGATGTCCATCTTTCTGTGTTTCTGTATGTGTGAGAAGATTTTTTTTAAATTTAAATTTTTATTTTTTTATTATTATATTTTTTAATTTTTTATTTATTTATTTTATTTTATTTTATTTTATTAATTTTTTTATTTTTATTTTTTTTTTTATTTTTTTTTATTTATTTATTTTTTTTTTTCCATGAAAACTCCTACATGAAAACTTTTAAAAATTTATATTTTCCGTATTTTAGCTTCTACGTTCATTATAAAGAACTGATAAGATTTTGAATAAAATTAGACAACCGTAAGTCATGCTTTACAGAAAACCCATAACAGACTTAATGGACAATCGAAAGTGGTACTTTACATCGCCCATAATGGCTTTTAACGAGAAACTATATTAAAATATAATCCAAAACTTTTAAATTTTCGGTTTTCAGACTTTTTTTTTAATGGGAACGACATTAGATTTTGGCTAAAACTGATAAACCTGAAGTGAAGCTTTATTTCAATCTCTGAACAGACCTTTGTAAAAAATACATTACTTCTCAGATTTGGTACTTAAAATAGGTATGTGACTAAGAACAGCACATTATATTTATAAGCATTTATGTATGCTTGGAATTATGCTACGTGCAACGAGAATAAGCTCATAAAGGAGACAAGCTCTCATTATGATGCAATTCATTGTATTAGCCTCAATCCTCAATTTTATGTTTGTTTCACCTTTGTGCCGAATCACTTTTCAAATAAAAGGATTCTGCGATCAAATGCTCTATGTAGTGTATTTAAAGAAATAATATAACAAATATAAATAATATAGCATATATAAAAACGTGTATGGTAACAATTAGCATTATATTGGGAATTCTAGAGATATGCTAATTTAAAGATTTTGTTATTTTGTTGTTGAATTTTTTGTGATGTAAGTTCGAAGAAAATAATGTTTAGTGAATAAAACTAAAATGACAAATAAAAAAATTACGTTAAATTAAAAAAATCTCAACATTGATATCGTAAACTGAGAAAAGAAAAAAATAAATATGTGGCAAAACTTAACACTCTATCGGAAATTTTAAAGATATTCTGTTTTTACAAATTTTATTATTGTTAAGTCATTTATTTGTAAATCTGAAGCAATAACCTATGACCAGAGAATTTACTACGATAGATGCGATTGTTTTTCAATCGAAGCACGAGCAATTATATTTATAATTGTCCACTGTATGGGTGCAAAGGAAAATGAAAAATGAGCAGTGCTTATAATTAACACTGAGCAATAAAGTTTATAAACAAGTCAGATTTTATTTACAAAAGTTCAACAAGAAGTGATAGTTTACGTAAAGCTTGTTGCTATTTCGACAATTCCATATAACATGGAATGGTGGAAGAACTTGTGCTGGCCATATCAGAGTTTTTTCATCTGAAATCCTCCTGGAAATATCTCTGCGCGTTGGCGGAATATAAACGAAGATCGCGTCTTCCGTGATCGGATGCGTAGTCCCCAGAGTTGCATGTCTCTTGAGTTTAGATTTGCTAGAACAAACTCATAAAAACCTTCTACTGTAACTGGCCACAGTTAAGATGACTTTCCATAGACATTTTAGACATAAGCGCCATAGTAGTTCTTTACTTCATCGCTCCTGAATAAAATAATCAAGGTATTTCGAAGGTATCAAGAACTTGGCGCAGGCGATAAAGTCGCCAATAATGGTGCAATAATGGTGCAAATAGCTTATTTAGATGGCTAGAAATCCTTTAAAACAATTATTATTTCTAAAATGTTACATGATGGCGATAAATGGGATAAGAATTGCAAATCCGTAATAATTTTCAATAACCTTTTTTAGTAAGCACAAAATATACTTAGATGAATATTTTCATATTGGGAGATTTGTTGGTGGATGTTTGTGTGACCTTTGCAACGTTTCGCTTCCTCAATATACAACTTTCATTCTGTAAATTAAATATCTCAATTTAAGAAATTTAATTTTGTTAGCAATTCTACTAGGTTGAATTAGTAATTTTCTCGCTACGAAATCCGGTAATACTCTAATGGTATCTGGTCGTACTCCGAAATCCACTAGTACTCTGCGTAAGGAAATCTCGCAAAACTATTATTCTGCATTCCATTCTTCCACACCTGATTAAAAATATGAACTTTTTTTTAAGAAAAGAAAGGTTTAAGTTCATTTCTTTTGTTTAAGCCAGTAAAATTTAGGGTACTCTTCTGTTACCAGGATCGGATTCAGAAACGTGTATATGTATGTATGTATGTATGGAGGTATGTGCGTACGAGCAATGCTTATAATTAACTTGACATATGTACGTACATATGTCAAGCACGTACGTACATGCATACATGAACACATACCCATACGTACATATAAATACACATTTTTGAATCTGGTCTCGATAACAGAACAGTTCCAAATTTAGTAACTTTAAATTACTGTGGGAAGCTGAACATCATTACTTTTCACAATTAGGTCGCTAGAAATCTAAAAACTCTTACTGAAATGTTGATTTATGAGAAAAAGAAAGGAAGGGGTAGAAAATGATAAATTTATGATTAAATTAATATAAGTTGCTGAGAACATTTGTTTTTCATGTTTATGTTTGCAACAGTTTTTATAGCAAAATTCCCATTAACATAAAAAGTCTTTATGATAAACGTAATCCACAGTTGCCAGATTTTCTTGGCTTTGAAATGCAAAAGAGATTTGAAATAATTCTTGCTAAAGAAGAGCACAAAATTGTTATTAATTTAAAACACCAACAGACAAAGCCTCAGCGCTAACGTGAGTCTAAAGCATTAGTCTCATTGACCCGCGAATTTATAAACATTTAGTATCTTTTGATCAAATGAGATTTTAAGCAGTCTCAGCGTAACTTATTGAAATGTTTATTTTGTTGCAAATTTCACAGATTCTTAAGCCAATATCTACGAACGACGCATATCACCAAAATGGCATCATTATATGTAGGTAACCTCCATCCAGATTGTACGGAGGCAACGTTATATAAGAAATTCTCAGTTATTGGAAAGATTTTGGATATCCGGATCTGCAGAGATCTAACTTTTAACAAGTCTTTAGGTTTTGGTTTCGTTAATTATGAAAGGCTTGAGGATGCGGAAAAGGCCTTGGATACTCTGAACTATGACTTGGTGAAAGGTCGGGCCATCCGCATCATGTGGGCGAACAAAAACATCTTGAAGAAGCTACCTTCTACTGCCAATTTATTCGTGAAGAATTTAGACACAAGTATTAATGAAAGAATATTGTATGATATATTTGCTAATTATGGAAAAATTGCATCTCTAAAGGTGGCAACAGATGATGAAGGGCAATCAAAAGGGTTTGCATTTGTTCAATTCGAAAATGAAGATTCTGCAAATGACGCCATTGATGGCTTGCACAAAACAGTAATTCATGGGAAGAAATTATACGTGAATAAATTCATTCCTCATGATAGAAGAATAAGAGAAAAGAGTCCAGTATTTACGAACATTTATCTAAAATATTTAAATCAAAGTTTTAAAGATGAGGATCTAGAAGATCTCTGTTGTAAATTCGGAACGATTCGTTGTGCGAAAATAATGACAGATGAAATGGGGAATTCAAAAGGATTCGGCTTTGTAAATTTTAAAGATCCAGGGAGTGCTAAAAAAGCAGTCGAAGAATTGAATGGTGTTATTGTTGATGGACAGAGACTTTACGTAGGAAGGGCAAAAAAGAAAGCAGAAAGGCAAGCCGAAGTGCTAAAACAATTTAAACAAAAACTTCGCTTTGGTGATCCATGAAACGATCGTTGTTCTAAGTTTTCAGCTAGAAGCATACAGTTAACCATATGTTAGAAAACGAGATGTTATTATTATATAATATTTAAGACGTTCTTCAACGTTGTGCTCCTAATTTGGTTAGTTAATTAAATTTTAATAATTAGCTGTAATCTTTACCGAGATATTTCTCTGTTTATATGAAGATTTAAAAAAAAATTAGCTTACAAGAAATCGATTTATTAATGAGATATTTCTTTATTAGGAAAATGGGTACTTTTCCGTTTTACCGGCGCAGGCGATAAAGTCGCCAATAATGGTGCAACTGGTGCCAAACGGAATATCCTCGCTGGTAACCTTTTAAGCCTCATTTTAAAAACAAGTAGCAGCCGTTTCTTATCAGATTGATTGTTTCTTTCGCTACTGGCATACAATTACATAGAATTTTTACCAGATAGTTCATTTTTACGCCGATGACCATTCGCGATAATTAAGTCAATTAGGATGCAATCACACTGCTCATCCGAAGGCGAAAATATAGAAAAGGCAAAGTCAAGAGTTAAATTGATCAATTCTAATGAGAATGCACTAGCGAAGTAAAGCACTGTGGTTTTGCATAATTTCTGAGTAAGCTATTCGTACGAATTGAAATAATTCTTGCATTTAAACTTCTATTCCAAATTAAAATTTAACTTGAAATTAATGTAGATAATTACTGAGAGAATTAGATTTTTGTAGCGTAGTTTACGTGAGATCAGATCACTTGGGGTCACGGGATACGAACCGGCGAATCAGGCTTTTGAACCATGAAAGCACAGTAAATTCTTAAATTAATGTCTTTTTACAAATTTATTGTCTTCATTTATTGGCTTTTTACAAAATTTTAAACGATATTAAAATGTTTATGCCTTTACAACAAAAAAAAATCTTAGAACTAACATTTGTTGACATTTTTTTACGTCTATACTGTATGTTGTGCCAATAAAGTATGCTTGGCGAGATTTGCGCCGTCGAAACGGAAAAGTACCAGAAATGTACGTATATATGTATGTGGGTATATATATGTGTGTGTATATATACACACACATACGTACATGCATATATGTACACATACATATATACATTCGTACATACTTGAAATCCATCAGTACTCTGAATCCGATCTCGATAACAGAAAAGTACAAGTGGATTTTTTTAAATCAAAACTTTATCACTTAGAATGTAAAGAATCTCACATTAAAAAAAGAAATGTACTAATTTAATATTATTAACAGCCTTTTGTATGAGTAATTGGGCCCACCAGCGGCGGAGCGGTAAAGTCGGTGAACACTGGTAGTGCAGTCCGAGGTTCGAATTCTGCAAACGGGCTGGCTGCATGGGCGTTTTCGTGGTTTTCCCCATGTGTAACGTCTATACGAGTTTCCCTTAGTCCTCCACGAAGGCATCCCTCCTCTTAAGCAGATAGCCCTCGAGGCTTTGCCATAATCACACACACACCTTGTATGAGTAATTATTTTGCCTAATCATAATAATTTTCTTTTGAACGGATTTGGATTTATTGGATTATGGCAGAGCATTCGAGGGTTATTTGCCTGTGGGATACCTTTTCTGGAGGATTTTACAAGGGAAATTGGATTACATTCATGTTTCGAATGGGGAAAAACTCGAAAGCTACATGTAGCTAACCCGTTTCCCATGATTTGAACGGTCCGGCGAATCCGCGGGCGGTGCCAAATGTTAAGGGGTCTTGTCCACTCAGCCACTAGTGAGCTTCTCTTCTTTGGAAACCAACAACGAAAAAATGTAACATTTTATGAGCTATTGTTTATTAACCAAAGTTTTAAAGATTTCTCCTGATGCTAAATTCTGCGCATTCACTTTCATTTCATTTTGAGAGTTAATTTGTAAAAATGTTCTGTGCATAGTCTGTCTTACATAACTCTATTTTTTGGGCAGGAAGATTGTAAAAACTGATTACTTTTAATTTAATTTCTCTTGCATTTCGTGTTCAATGCGTCTCTGGAACAATTACGCTTCTTTGGTCAAAAGATTACCATAAGTTTTCGAAAAGCTTTTGACGAAATTTTTACAATTTTTTATTATATTAGTAAGTTACGATTTTAAAGAATCTTAGAAACCATTTTCATCCAGTATCGCTCGTTTTTTATGTTAATTAGAGAAATGTTCTGGCCCGTTAGTGAGCTGTTTTGAGAAGATATTTCGCTTGATTTCCATGACCGGTTGTTTTTAATTTAATGTCAGTGTCAGTGGACACAAGAGAACTAATATTACATTTCAATACGACTTTGTAAGGTTTAATCCGTTTGAAAGTTATATTTCTAGAGAAGAAAATTTTCGCTGACCTTTTCGAGAAATATATAACATCTTTCTGTAAAAGATTATTAAGTTCTAATTCTGATATGCATAATATCTTTCTTTATAAATAAGACTTAGTTATTAACTTCTAATTCTGAAATTTTTTTCTTTGGCAATTTAACTTGATGATAGACCCAAGTTATTCATCATATTTTTAGTAAAAATCCTTGACGTATCCGTATCGAGAATTTAAAGAAAGAAAGCAACTAGATAGTTTTTAAAAAGAAATAGCAAACATAATTTAGGAAGCGTCTTAAGAAACATAAGCACGTACTTTTAAAGTCTTTGCAAGATGTTATTTCAAAATTCCTGTCTTTGAGAAATTAGACGTTTCATAATACCGTTAAAAATAGAATTCATTTAGACCTAACTTAACATCAAAATGTAACTCTTCCGAACCTTTACAATGAGTGAAAAGTGAGACTCTCTAACAACAAAAATTAACATAAAACACAAGATAGACAATAAACAAAGAGAGGATTTAAGTAAAAGAGGACCTCTTTCTAACAAAGAGAGGTTAAAAGTATAAACCTTTCTTTGTAACAGACAAATAAGATTTTCCTCTAGCTACTGATAATTTTTGTAAGAAATTTTTTGTAAGAAGAAATTAAATAAGTATTGCACTGTCAACTGCTTCGATGGCCTTAACATATCATTTACACAAAGGGGACCAGCACAGAACCATTCGGCAACTTGAAGGTCTCTTGACTGGAATAAACCTTTCCTTTGTCGGAATTTAATTTGACTAATTTGAAAAAAAAAATGAAGTAGATGTTCTTTATTAGACGTATTTCGAATAGCCAAAAAAAAAAAATCATTGTTTTTTTCCAATAGAGTGGTTCGCCACTAGTTTCTCAAAATTTGATGATTGTTGGATGACCTCTTTAAAAACTAAACTGAGTAGCACAAAGTTCATTTTGATGTATGAAATTCAGAAGCGATTAGGGGTTATTCCCCTGAAACATTTTGCAATGACTTCTGCAGAGGGATATCGGATGTTTTATACCATGTTTCGTTATCGGAGTTTCACGGTTAAATTTTTTTTTACTGTGCCATTTGTATACTGTTTAGGACGTTCCTCCCAATACTTTAATAGACATCTGTTAAGCCTTAACTTGATAGATTGTCTCAATTTGCTTTATATGTTAGTTGTGTATTAGTATATATTAGTTGTGTATTAGTTTTATATTATTTTTCTGTAATCCGAAATTTTTATTGAAGGTTGACTTAACGTAAATTTTCTCAGCTACCAGTTCACCGCTTCGAGTAGAAGCTACTTTCGAAATGAATAATTTTATTTCACATATCTGTTCTCTTCAGAAACGTGTAAGCATTAAACCTGTGAACATTTCTTCCAATGATTACCTCTTGGAAAACGTTGTATAAAGTAAATACTACAAACTGAATCTTTCAATGTAAGATTCGGTTTCAGAGGCGTCGTCTTAAAACAATGCAATGCATGTGGCGCATGCGTACAAATTTTAAATCCTGGAATAATTATTTTTGAATTCAACCGTATGGTTAAATCCTTTGAATATACATCTTTGGATTGATTCATCGATTTTATTTAGAATAAGAAATTTAAAACAAAACAAGCTGCGCACGATCGTGTCTTCTCTAATTCTGCCTCTGCGTATAGTACAGATATTAGCATAATTAATGGAATAATATATTTCAACAGGAGAAGAAACCTTTTTCTCTTTTCCTCCCGTAGTCTGAGACAGGTGGCTAATTTTTCTTTATCTACATGTAGTCTGTGCACCGTATTTAAACTGGAATAAATGAGAGTTCGTTGTTTAGCATTGAATTTAACGCAGTTTTATTATTTTGGGATTTTTATTATACATTCATTATTATGCAAAGGTAAATTTTCAGCTTCGAAGTTTGCATTGTATTACACACTTAAGTTTAAAGTTGTTTAGTTTTGTTTTCAGGTAAAAGTGGTGTAGAACTTCATTTATTTTTAGCAAAAAGTTATATTAATTTGTTAGCCTTTTCTGTCTTCTCTTATTCCCCTCGTACTGAAAGCGCATGTTCTTATTTCTACCAGCGATTAATACTAAATACCAGGTCCGCATTCTTGCCTCGGAATTATTATCCTGCCGATGTAGGTTCTGAGTCAACCTGTTAGATTAAACTGAATTGTGTAGTCTTGCACTGCTCTTTACCTTTAATTTTAGTGTTATATTACTTTTTAGGTTTCTCACCACAAGTGGTCGGTGACTGCAAACACTTAAGTCCATGCCGTCTGTAAGTATTGAGTTCAATAAAAGACATAAAACAACCAAGGGGTTCAACAAACAACCAAGGGGTTCAACCCTTCCCCTTGGTTGTTTTCATCTTCTCAGTCTTTGCGTGGAGTCCCAAGAATTAATACTTAGGTAGTACATCTAGTTAAATTGCATGATAGTGAAGAAGACTAGATCCCTCTGTTGTTTGTTTAAATTTGATTTATTTTAAAGATGTTTATTCTTATTGCTGGACTTCTTTCATAGTTCCCTATGATAATTAATGCATTAAACCTGTAGTATTAAGTGAATCATCCCTTTTAGAAATTTGAAGCATGACTGAAAATGAAACAGAGGGCTTTTTAAGGCCAATATTTATATTTCTGTCTTCTCCAAAATAAAAATCTGATGTGTACACCACATGACTTCCTTGTACGGAATATTGAATTAAACGCAATTTTCATACATTTCATTTAAACATATTGTAATAACAGGTAACGAATTTTGAATCAAATCTACTTCGTGGATAGCGCGTAAACCACA